GCTGCCAGGCTAGGGTTTAGGGTTTAGGCTTTAGGGTTTTAGGGTTTCGGTTTAGGGTTTAGGGTCTTCTGTCTGGTGCTTAGTAGGGAATGGGGGAATGGGTTATAGGGACTACTATAAGGGACCTTAGGGGACTATCATAGGGATCCAGCACCAGACAGTAGTTGAAGCGTTCTGTAAGGGGCTTCTTGAGGCCCGAGGGTCTATGATTTTCATTGTGTTTTTGATCGGATTTGTGTTTGTGGTTTTAGGCGGGGTTGGAGGAGAAGTTGCACATGAAAGGTTTAGGATTGCTTGGGGTTCGGGGCCTTCTCACACCCTACGTAAGTCAAGCCCGAAGAAACACTAGCGGGACCTTAGCTCTGAACCCAAAGCACCCGCAAACCGGGCTTCCATGCAACAGTTCGCAAAAGCTGTTCTCGTGTGGTTCGAGGGTTCGGATTTGTTCCTGACCCTGGCCCGGAATTTCATTCAAACTGCAAAGAGAAAGACCCACCCTAATTCTTAAACCCCTGAAAAGCTAGAAGAATCCCAGTCCCAGGGCCTCTCTTCGACTGTACGCTTACCGGGCCTGCCTGGGAGGAGCTGGACAGGCCTGGACCCTTGGGTTTCAAAGTTTAGGGTTTAGGGCTTCAAAATTTAGGGTTTAAGGTTTAGGGTTTAGGATTTACAAGGTTTTGGGTTTAGGATTTTCAATATTAAGGGTTTAAGGGAAGTCGGACATTGGGCTGATGCAGCTTTAGCTTCACGGATTTTGGAATATATACTCTCAGGCAGTGCAACTCTAAGCAACACGGGGGTTTCCGAAAATAGGGGACCCTAATATAGTACCCTAAATGTTCCTGTTCCTGTTCGGACTATCGATCCGCTGGCCCCGTAAGTACCCTAAATACTAAATAATCGGATCCTTATAATAAGGACCCCCAAATAAGGTACCCCTAATTGTCGGAAACTCCCACATGAACATAAAACGAGCCACGGCGGTGGCCCACGAGGCGTTCTTAGGACATACCCTAAACCCTAAACCCTAAACCCTAAAACCCTAAAACACAAAACCCTAAACCGCGCATCTTTTTCAGGATGTGCTCAGTGCTCTCTGGCTCACGTTCCTCATGCAGTCATAATTACAACCTACTTGTGCGTAAGTCCCTGGCCCTAAGCTCCAAAACCCAAGATCCTAAGGCCCTGAACCCCACGACCCCAACCAAGTTTAGGGTTTAGGCTCATATGGTTTAGGGTTTATGGATAATGTACTTGCGCTCTCATGAGTACTGTGTGTGTGGGTGCGCTGCCGACCTCTCAACGACATTCCAGACATAATGCGCATACCGTTCGGTTCAGTTCGTTTTTGTCTCAGCACCTCGCAGTCCCTGCTGTCACGAGTCAGCTGTCCTGGCGTGACGTTGCAAGGCAGTTGCAAAAAGGGATAATGTACATTTTTGACCTATGAGCATGGCGTGCCTGTCTCAAACAGATCTCTGCGGGCTTGTTCTGCCAAAGTACACAGAGCTGACATAGAGGAAACGTTTGGGCCGCATGTATTCTGCGATGATTTCTCGGATCTGCGTCTGTATTGGAAGAAGATTATGGGCTATGGGTTGAGGGGTTTAGGGCTATGGATTACGAGGGCTCTTGCATTTGGATAATTGGTGTGTAAGCCTTCGCAACGAAGCCATCTACTTCGGTTTAGCTGCCCAGTTGGGGCTTGGCCACTTTGGAGGTCTGAAAATAGGTCATTATATCCCTACAATCTACCCGAAATCCGAACCTGACCAAAAAGTCATGAACCCGGTTCTGACCACAAACAATATCATATCCGCAGATCGCATTGCAGTTCTTTACGTCCCGGCTGGTCTACTTGCAGAGGATTCCTTGTCTGTCGTCTGGGCTTAGGGCCAGCCGGAAGCCGGACTAATCGGTGGCTTTTGCTGGTCAGAATATCATAGTCGTTGTAGTATCATACCATAGGGACCGCAAGGGAATACTATCGCATTGCCAAATACTCAGAACCCTATAGTATGGAGTATTATGGGGTCTTGCCTTTTCAAAACTACATAGATATCATGAGCCATTCCAGGTGGGCAGTGAAAGCGGATGCCGTCCTTCCTCGGTCGAAAACGCCGGCGAGGGCGCGGCGTCCCAAAGAGGCCGTAAGTGGGGTAAGGCATACGTTCCCGGCCCTGAACTCCCAAACTAGCAGCATTGACCTCCGCTTATCATCTATCTTTAGGAATAGGTGTACTACAGCCAAAGGCAAAGTAAGCTCTCGAACAATGCCAATGTGCAGGGTGCCTGTGTGATTTCGAGTCGTGCTCCTGAAGTTTGTCTTTGTGTCGTTGCTATCGTAGCAGTGGTAGTGGCAGAAGGAGCCGTAGAAGCAGCAGCCGTAGCAGTAGCAGCGGTCGGCGTCGTCCTCGTCGTAGTACTGGTAGACTTTGTTTGGTTTCTTTTGGTTGTTGTCATTGTCGCTGCTGCTGCTGTTGCTGCTGCTGCTGCTTGCCGCTTTCTTCAGTGGCCGGTGAGAAGCCATCTGCGGGCTTGAGGTTCCTCAGCCTTGGGAGCACACTCTGCGGCCAGGAGCGGAAGTCAGCCTTGAGGCTTGAACCTTAAAAGGCCTACAGTTTTCGCAAGAGTGGTGTTTGGGGGTGGAGATTGGAGCTGAGCTTGAAGAGTTTCTCGTGCTATGACGTCCGGGGCTGACGGTTGCCTTGTGGACCACACGACCCTTAAAAGTAGAGGCCCTGTGCCCTTCTATTATGAAATCCTGTATGGTATATGAACCTTAAACCCTTTTAGGGCTTGTGTCGTCCTTAAGGTGGTACGACCTGTGTGCCTAAGTGCGCAGAAGAGGAGCCTCTGACCTGGAACCACTTTTGCGAAGTCTCCGCTTGTACGTTTGAGTACATGGAACCTAAGGCTTATCCTCAAAGTATACCAGATATGTGTGTGTGTATTTATGTATGTATGCATGCATGCCTGCATGCCTGCATGCCTGCATGTGTGTATGTACGTATGTTTTTTATGTATGTATGCATGTGTGTATGCGTGTATGTGTGTGTAGTGTGTATATTTGTTTATTTATTTATTAGCCAATAACATACAAACACCACGGTTTTTTCAAGAGGCCCGTCTCCGGGTTTCGGAGAGCACCGCTGCCGTAGGCAAGACGGGAGTAAACGAGTAGAGAGAGCAAGAGCCAGGTCTACCGGGGCGTTGTGTTCGGCAAGGGTGGTCTGTAAGATCGGATCTCTTCCCTAAACCCTAAACCCTAAACCCCCCTAAAATCTGTAAGATGAGGGTTTTGGTTAGACTGTAGGCATGGTTCCCATGCGGCACGGGCCTGAAGAGTTCTGAGCTCCAGCGGTTTGGCCCTGGTTGGCTTCTAGTCGTACCGAAGCACACCCGTCCTTAGACAGACTGCATGGATTCGTTTAGGATGGAGGGAAAGTAGGAGCCAGGCTTTGTACAGCAGAAAGCCTTACAGCGTTAATCTTCCTGAACCCTCTAAACCGACGACCGCGAAGAGGCAATCTCCTCCAGTCGAAACTGTCCTGATCAGTCATCGAGTGCTAGGATGAGAGATCTCACAACTTGTGTGCCAAGTTCGCTGCCGTAGGTTTCAAGATCTGAACTGCAGCTTACCCCTATGTAGCTGAGGAGAGTTGCAGACGTGTCACACGAGAGACTTGCTGGGCTAGTGAAGCACAAACCGTGCAACGCTGAATCCGGAACCCCAACCCCAAACCGGGTTCAAAGCTGCGGGTTTAGGAAGCCAGCAAAGGCATGCACTTAGCCTTCAGAAATTTCATGCCTTCGAGGAGTCCAGGAAGAGCCCACAAGAGTCGGGAAGTTTGGCCGCCTCGCATGGAGCAACAAAGCCGCAGGGTTACGGTTAAGGGCTTTCGATGTCGGGCTTACGCATTGTGTGCTGGATCTGGTTTGTCTTAGCTGAGGCTCGAAACCTTGCTATTGAATTGAATGAAGTGCCATGTTTCCACCGCCACTGTGAATCATTTTTCTCCGAGGAGTAATGTTGGATGCCTGCACTGCACTAGGAGTCAGGAAGACTGGTTGCTGTGACGAGCGGCGGTTCCGCGACTGCCGCTGTGGCACGAGGCACAACTTGCACCAAAGACTCCTGCTTTCGCCACAGTCTCGTGCGTACCCGTCCGCCCGGACTCCTTTTACAATCGCGCTCTTGGGCTCGGTTTATTTTCCGCGGCAAAGTGCTCGCTACAGTCCCGGAGTGGACGAAAAGCGCTTTCGCCTGTGTTCCGTGTGCATTTCGAGGTGCAAAATTGCTGTGATGGCCACCTTGGACTTCGTTCCATTTGGCCACACTGCCGTGAGTGTTTTTGGATGTGCCTCGTGCTGTCGTCGCAACGTTTCTCTTAGAGTGGTCTTAGAGACTGGCCCACAGCTTTTTCCTGAGACATCGACCACTCAGCTCAGGCCGAGATTTCGCATCCCTGTCGTTGACACCCCTGCATGATGAAGTCATCAAGCTCGATGTCGTCCTGCAGGGCAAGGCGCCCCAAACTTGCAAGTAAGGCTTGAGGGTTTATGATGCGCAAGGTCATCAGGGCCGCTGCTGAGTAGCTGAGGCATACCCTCTTCGGAGATTGGCTTGGCTTGGGTCGGGTAGCTTTGGGCTCAGACTTTGGTGTTAGCCGCTCCATGCCTCCGTAGTTATGTGCAAAGACGTGAGGCACGCAGGTTTCTAGACTTCGAAGTGGAAGGTGCGTGGTCTAAGGGTGGAGGGGACATGAAGGGTGAGCCCCATGGAATGTACAAAAGCGGGGTGTCTTAGAGGTTTGATCCGATTCAACACTTTCACTTTCCAGGTCTTCATACAGACTGCCAAAGACTTCAACAGTATCATGAGAAGCCCCCAACAGAAGAACCCTACGAGGATCCCTTTCTGAAACTTCCTTGTGCATCCTCGGGTAGGTGTAGGGAAGGGTTGAAGGCACATCTGTTCACGAAGAGTTAGTCGCCCAGAAAAAATCAAGCCAGCTCAATGCATGAGGAGAGCATCTAGAGCTTGCAGAAAGGACGCCATAAGGAGAAAGCGTGTTACTGCATGCCCCCTGCGTGTTTAGGGCGCAGCCCAGGCCCTTCCTCCAATGCTCCGCACTCCTGCAACAACTCAAGCCTGCTTGTAACACCATGCGGACCATGCGTAAACAAACTCTGGAGGTTAAGTTTAGGGTCTCATGAAGACCTTGAGAGTCCAGCTTGCCGGCATACACCCAAAGCCCATGCTGAAAGAGGTTAAGTTTAGGGCGGATCACGAAAGACAGTGTCACCAAAACACTACACACAACACACAATCCATATGTAACACCCCTTTATACAACCTGTTATAAACCTTTTTCGCCATGTCATGTGTCAATGCCTATACACTCAGAGAGCTCCAGGAGCACAGCACGCGATACCGGAATTACTTCCTGAGGCGGCAGGCGCCGGGACATGACCGGGCCGTGGTTAGGTTCAACCTCTTGGCGCTTGACTTGTCTTCACCGGAATGTACCCATAGGCCCTAAAGTAGTTCCTTGTTGGGGTTCATATATAGATTCCGATAAGGTAACCCCAAAAGGAACTACTATGGGGCCTATGGGTATAGTAAAATTTGTGTTCTGTGGAGTTTTATTCGCATTCGGCAATCACTCCTGCAGGCGAGGTACGGTCGGAAGCCTTCGCCGAAATGTAGAGGCTTGAGGTGTCGGGTTCAAGATTTCGGACATTATGACAGCCATGACATGCGATAACCATCGTAGGGCCTAGTGCGCGGTTCTTCTCGCCCAGATAAACCCTAAACCCTAAGCCGAAGCCCTTAAAGCCTTTAACCCTACAACGCCTAAGCCCTAAACCCCGGAAACCCCAAACCTTAACAGCCCAATTCCTCGCTTGTCTGCACCGATCCTCGCGATGCGAGAGGGAAAACATAGACCAACGTGCTAAACCCGAAAACCCTATAATATAAGGGCCTTAGTAATAAGAATAGGGTTTGGGGCCCATTATACCTTAATTATAATAAGGAGCACCAAAATAGTTTTGGTAATTATGTAGGCCCCTACATTGCCTCAAACCGTGGGAAAATAGCCCATGCACCCTAAATCCTGCCAAAAGGCCGCCCTGCGGCACTGGGGAGAGAAAGAGGCACAGAAACTCCATGGAACAAGGCGCAAACAGGGCTTTGATTCGGTTTTCAGGGATTGTGAAATTGGGAATTTCGGTAGGAGAGAACTTTGCAAAATGAAGACCCTGAAGCCCCAATGTAGCGGTCTGTAAGAACAGTTCCAATAGCCTCTAGGCCCTAGACGCCCTGTTTAGGCGTATCATGAACGACCGTGCTCTACTTATTGAGGCCTCTATATTACAAGTCTTGGCAGTCCTGGCCTTTCACGCCCGGGGACTCTTTCTGGCTGTTGTTTGAAGGTGTGTCGAAGGCTCATGGACTCAGTGGACTCAGAATCAAGATTATGGGGTTAACGGTGCACGGACTTTATTTAATGCCTGCCCCGCTCAGAGGGTCAGCAAATCCATGTATAGAATACGCCATATGCTAGACACTTGTTCCGAAATATATGTGTGGGCATGAACAAGGTAAGTAGATAGTTTTATCAGCAAGGCCACGAAACCTATGCAAAGATACGTGCATATGAGCAACCCTGGACCCTACCGAAACATTACACCGAGTCGAGGAATGCGGGGGTTAACGGAATGATGGCTTCTATGCATCCTCCGTAGGGCTCCTCAACATGACTATACTAAGACAGACCCCAAAAGGGCCTAGGGTTTAGGCATTATGCAGGCCCCTATACTAAACGGGTCTCGACCCTGACCAGGTTATGGCAGACTGATTGCCCCAAGTGGGTGTGGAAGCCGCTCCCCGCAAAGGTGGTGCGTCTGGACTGCCGGGATGGCTTTGGGTTTACATGGGTTTGCAAGGCGGGCTTTAGGCTTTAGGGCCCCGAAACCCCAAATCCTAAAAGGAACTAAGGCGGTGAGTAGAGCGTTAATGTTTGGTGGTCAAACGACTGCTTCGGGGCCAATGTGCTTGTCCGACTGGAACTCGTACCCTCGCCTAGGCTTGTCCGAGTGTGAGTGCTGAAAAGGAAACAAGGCCCCTGAACCCTAACTCCTGACATGCCTCGCCTGGATTGTCCGGGTGTGAGCGCCGAAATCCTAAAGACTTAAATGAAGACCCTGATTTTGGAGCTTGATATTTTGTATCTCAAACCGCGAATTGCGAGACCTAAGTCTCCTGGTTCATCCTAAAGCCTCCTGACTAATGTGGGGCCTCAGTAATTACCAATAATATTTTGCGAGTTCCTTAATGAGTCCCCATACCATATTCTAATTATTAAGGCTCCTAAACCCTAAACCCATATAATGTCCCTTGAAGGAACCCTTCAAAGGAACCCCAAAAGACCTTATTCTATTAATTCAGGCCCTTATTTTACCTAGACCTTCAATATTCTGGAGCTCCCAAAGCCCAAACCCAAATCCTCCTTCAACCTCCAACCCCAACCACAAAAGTACAGCTACGCCCCACCCCCACCCAAACCCTACTTGCCCCAAACCCTAAACCCTAAACCCCCAAACCCGTAAACCCCTAAACCCTAAATCCTAAACCTTTAAACCCTAAACCCTGAACCTGCAATCCACCAGATACATCCCAAAAAGGGCCCTCGTTTCTGCAGGACCTCCCTACAAGAAGGCAGGCGATCATCGCGGAAAGGTGGCCCTGGGGTAGTCTTCAACGCCTACGGCTTTGGTGCGGTTTAGGGGTTTAGGGGGGGGGGGTTAGGGTTTGGGTTTTTTGGTTTAGGGGTCAGGGTTTAGGGGTTTAGGTGTTTTTTTCTTCAGGGTATGCGGCAGTCGCAATAGGCCTGGATACAAAAAAGGGTTTGGGTTTTTTTAGGGTTTGGGGTCCCCGAGGTGCAGGTTTGAGCCCGCTTCCGTTCACAGAGGAAGGCAGCACCATTCAAAGCCCGCCAACGATTCAGAAACCCCGCTTGTGCTGTGAACGAGTTCAGGGCCTTGCCTCGTGCACCGGAGTCCTAAACCCTAAACCCTAAACCCCTAAGCCCTCCTAGTTGGACACAGAGACTTCGTCTGGCGGAGTCCGAGTTGCGAGAGCGTAAACCCTAAATAGACAGGAAACCCGCAGTACCCTGCAGGATTTGCATAAGAGCCGGCAACAGCAAATCCCAAAATCCTGCACCAGAGTTTGGGCCCCCAGATAGAGATAGCCAGGGTCTCAGCTCTATATACCCCTAAAACCCTGCCCCACAACCTTTATCAACTCCATATCGCAAGCCCTGCCGCATCCCAGACCCAAAGGCGGGCTGCAAAGCGAAAGACCTGGCAGCAGCTTTTCGGTGCTTCGCCAGAAAGGTGATCTTGGGATAACCTGGTAAGCACTGCATGGGGTGTCTAGAAGAGGTCTTTCGGGATGGAGTTACGGCTTCAACGTGCGCAGGGACTAGAAGGGGGTAGTATGCCCAACTGTTCAGGGATCATACCAGGGAGGCCTTATATAACGGATTTGTGTGCAGGGCTCTGTTGGGGTATGAAGAGCGTAGACATGGGGGGGGGGGGGTGAGTTGTGGCGGTACTCATGACAAAACCGCAGGAAGCTCGGGGATGCGGTGGGTTATTCAGGCATTCGGAGGTAAGGGGCCTTTGGGTTGAGGATTTTGGGGCGTCCGCGGTTCAGGTCAAGGAAGGTCTCATCATGCTCGCATCATGTCCTGGCATGGGATGCATGGGTTTGATGATGATAGCTGGCGAGGCGGCCACGACAAGGGACAAGTGCCAGGACTGGGCGACGTACTTTACTAACTTGGGGATTAGGGTTCATGTTTGGGTTGCACGATTTGGAGGAGTTCCCGGTTCACAGAATCATCCCATATCAATGCTCAGTGGTTGTACGGCCCGAAGTCACATCCGCCACCCGCCGCAGCAATTCCGGGGTTGGAATGAATAGAAACACTGTTGCTCAGGGTTCCCTCATGACACTATACCGTTATGCACCAAAACCAATTATATATTCACCCCCCTCGTAGCAGCAATTGCAGTGTCCGCGCCAAAAGTAGTTATGCAGTAGCTTGCATATTCACAAACACTATATACGATTTTGGGCTTCCTTACTGTAAGTGTAGTATATCATGCCCCAAAACCCTATTCTAATTGTTAAGGCCCCTTTATATTAGTGCGAGACCACAGAAGCCTCAACTCCGCCCAGATATTCGAGCTAGTCGGCCGGGAGCGAAGCAGATCTCACTGGCCTTCTTCACACATCGCCTGGACCGCGTCTTGCGGAATTGGATTGGACATGCCGGTAGCGACGCCTCCCGTGTAGCTTTGGCTCAGTTGTCGGGTTCTGGGAGATATTGACATACACCATAAACCCTAAAGTGCGATACGTGAAGGAGCCCGAGAAAGCCGCAGGTTTCGTCACCAAGCTCCTGGACGGCAGGATGAGTTTAGGGTTTTGGGCCGTAGGGGTTAGTTTAGTGTTTAGGTCTTAGGGCAGTTTAGGGTGTAAGGTTTGGGATCATAGGGCTAGGGGGGTTTAGGGCAGTTTTGGGGTTTACGGATTGGGACCACAGCATGGCGCAGTTCAGAGTTTGCGGCTGAGGTCTATGGGGTTTAGGGCAGCTCAGGGTTTGGAGGGGTTTTGTTTCGGCCGAGTTGAGGGTGGGATTGCCCTCATTCCTAAACCCTCCCTGGCTGCCTGTAGGGCTAAGCTCTTGCGGTTTCGGAAATCAGGCGAGGGGGTTAGGGTTAAATGTCATGTCATCCATCTGATGGTTTCAGTAGCAACCAGAGTTGAGGAGGAGAAGGAGGAGGAGGAAGCGCAGTCCGCATCGTCGGAAAAAACGTTGTGATTGCGCACATGTAGCGGGCTTCTTCATTGGCCCTATTCTGACATGAGATTGGGGCTGGAGGGCGAAGGCCTGCTTGAAGAACACGACTTAACTGATAGCAGCCACAATGGGAATAGCAACGCTGGTGGTCTCACCTCGGGTCTGTTCTTCAATCGTCGCAAGGTCGGATGTTGGTGGGTGCTCAGTGTAAAGGGTTCAAGATTCCAGGCGGTGCTTACCCGAAGCCATGCTGTATGTCTTTGCCGTACTTGCGGTGCAGAAACAAAGGATATAAGCTGGTCTATAGGAGTCTAGGACTCACGGCACCCTGAAGCTCAGTTGTCAAGCTTCGCCAACCTGGCAGCTAGTACGAATCTGCAGAATCCGAATCCCCACCCTACACCCTATATAAACCCTATAAACTCCTAAACTGTCACTAAACACTTAAAACCCTAAACCCTATAAGCCACTAAACACCTAAACCCTAAAGCCTATAAACCACGAAACGCCTAAACCCCAAAAGCCACTAAACACTTAAAGCCCTAAACCTTATAAACCACGAAACGCCTAAACCCCAAAAGCCACTAAACACCTAAAACCCTAAACCCTATAAACCACTAAACACCTATATAAACCCTAAGCCGCACATCTTCCGGACATGAGGTACGGGGACCTGCTCGTCTCGGAGAAGGCGCTGCGGAAGGAACGTTTTTAAGCAAGGTTTACTGTGTAGTATAGTATAGTATAAAGTATATAGTATATAGTATATCGTATATAGTATATAGTATAGTACAGTATAGCAAATGCATAGTATACTCTACCAGTGGAAATTATACTTATAGTGTGTTGTAGTATTTTCGTAGTATGTTCTGAAGGGTGATTCCCTCTTGAACATGTATATTTGAGGAGGAGCTATGGGCATTACCAGGTCTTCAGGAAGCCAGGGCTTCGGCACCCAAAGCTCGGGGGCATGATAGATGGGGGTAATGTAGGGGCCTTAATAAATTACCTATACTTTTTTGGGGGGCTCCTTATAATTATAGTATAATATACCCCAAAACCCTATTCTAATTATTAAGGCCCCTACATTAGTTCTCTTAATAGGAGTTTTTGTGCTCCTGGGGCCCCGGGCGCGGGGAGCTGCGGATGCCAGGGATGCCAGAATCTGTGGGTGCCTCCGGACTTCAGCGTTTAGGGTTTAGGGTTTAGGGTTTAGGGAGCTGACAATGGCAGATTAGATCAGCATATTCTTGATGGCATCCATAAGAAACGGGTTAGGGGATGCAGAGAGGCAGTCACTGGAGTACTGGAGACTTCACTAGACGATGCTGGCATCACGCAGCAAAGTTGCATGACACGGTCCGATCTGATTGTCGATGCCACAAACTGCCCGTCGTGTTTGGAGTTTCTATGTCTTCGGAACTCCCGAACAGGCTGCCAGCTAGGGCGCACAACTATAGCGAAGTTCCATGCACGTCTCGAGAAGCCCGGTCCGGGTGCGAGCAAAAGCCACCAGCATTCGAAGAGCTGCCCTGACTGGGGTTTGTGGGTTTAGGCCTTGTGAGGGTGTTTAATCAGAGTTCCTGACTTGGGACGTGAACTCAGATCTTTACAAGAGCATGAACTGAACAACACTAGAACAGCGCAAGGAACACAAAGCCACACTCCGTGTTAATGAAGGTGCTGCGTGCCGACAAACCGAGCTTCAAGCCCTGGCGAGAGGTTGCGGCTGGGGATAAGTTCAGGTTTTAGCACTTGCTTCTTTGATATCCTTAGGAACTTCGGCGCTCGAATGTTCATGGTTTAGGCGTTCTGGCTTGGTGCTTAATTAGGACTGGGGTTGAGCATTGAGAGAGGTCTTAAAGTTTAGGCTGGGTTGCTGTTAAGGAACTTAAATTAAGTTGCTACAATAAGGAAACCCTATTACTTACAATACATCCCCATTACGGTAACTCAAATTAAAATCCTAAAACAAACGGCCCAGTAGATTCTGTTCCAGGTTTTCTCTTGCGGGCTCTACGGGCCGAGGATGTAGGTTTCTCTGATTGAAATATCGAAGATGCACAGAGGGGTTTAGGGCCGTGTAGGGTTGAGGGAGAGAGACAGATGAGGTACCAGATTTTGCTGGGCAAACAAAGCCAGAGAGGGGGAGAGAGAGGGACGAAATCCCGAAACCATAAAACCCAAACCCTGATCCCAATACCCTAGCCAGTCAGTGCGCTTATTACCCACGCAGGTTCCAAACAACCCACAATCCTAAACCCAAACTCTCCGCCATACCCGCAATCTTCAACCCGATTCCTCACCAAAGCCCTTTTCAACCCGCAGAGCCCTTGTCAGCAACAACACGCCCTCCAGAGCCCCGAACCTTCAGCCCTACATGTAATTAGCCCCTTCTAAAACCCTAGAAAGCACCATAAAACCCCATAAAACACCATGAAATCCGGTAAAGCACCGTAAAACAGTATGCACCACAAAACCCTAGTAAAATCACAACGAAATCCGGTAAACGGTAAAGTCCCAGAGAAAAGCCTACAGCCTAAACCCCAGCAGGAGGTGCAAATTGTTGCGAAAGGAAAAGTCTTCCTGGAGAAGACGTCGCTCAGCTGTGGCCTTTTTTCTTGCCCTCTTACAGTGTTGAAGGGTTTGGCGTTCAGGGCTTGGGGCTACGAGGGTCTAAGTCTAGGGTTTCTGGGGGTTTAACTACAGGGGTTTTAGGTTTCACGGGTTTAACGGTTTTTTGCGGCTACAGTGGTTTGGGGGTTTAGGGGTTTAGTGTTGCAGGGGGTTTAGGGGCTTCGGGCCACAGGAGTTTAGGGCTGGCTACAGGGGGTGTGAGGTTAGGGTTATAGGGCGTGCGGATTTCTGGTCGGCTCCGTGAGAGCTGTAGCAGGGTGTTAATACGCACTGTGCAGGCATTTATAGGTCGCATGAAAACTATGGCGCTGTACCATGGCTTTTTGGTACAGGCTGGTTTGTTTGCAAGGGGGTTTCGCACAGGGTTCCGCAGGGTTGTAAACAGGTTCGGGGGTTTAGGATTTGCATGGCCACTCGAGTTTTTCGGAGGTTTGCGGTTCTGAACTTTAGGGGCGTTCAGAGTCGACGGCGACTGGCTTTCGGCTTGTAGGGTTTTTTGCGGTCGCAGGCCTGAGGGTTTTAGTGTTTCGGGTGCGGGCTTAGGATGTGGGCATTAGTTAGTTGACGGTTTTGAAGAGGACCTGTATGAGTTTTCTCGAGGATATTGCTTGATTTTGTAGGGACGCTGCTGGTTAAACCTATGAAGTAGGGTTGGGATCTCGTTGGGGCTTACGGGTTCGTATTTCAAACGTTATGGGTATTGGCGCTTAAACTGCGTGTCGAGCTTTAGCCGACGCTGTTTCGGTCCCGGTTTACTGTCTGGGGAATCCTTATTGTGCTATACCGTCTGTCTATACCCTGAAAAGCCTTATCCTACTTCTGCAGGCTACTACGTTGTGTCCATTTTCAGGCTGAGGACTTTGGCACAAACTCCTCACAGAAAAAGTATCGATTGTTCAGGGGCTCTTCTTGTTTCAGACTTTGGGGGTTGAGGGGTTAAGTAGTCTGGGCTTGGCATGGGCATGGGCCTCAGTCGTGATCATAGAGGTCGAGCGGATCTGACTACCTAAGGTAGAACCCATGGGCCCCTAGTATGGGCCCTGAACCCTGGGACCCTAATATACCTACTATATACCCTATATATACCCTTAAGGGACCCTAGGATCCCCTAAGGGCCCATGTTAGGGGCCCATGGGTTCAACCTTAGAGACTAGTCCCGAAAACCAGGAGCACAAAAAAGTAATTTAGGCTTATAAGTTGGTTTGGTTTTCGTCACCATCCTCTAAGTTGTTCATCCATTTCAGACTCTTCGCTGCGAACGGAGGACGTGCCCGATTCAGCGAGATCTTCTGACCAAGCAGCAGATGAAGGCCCAGCGTTCACTAAAATCCCCAAACCGAATAGGGTCCTTTAAAACACTCGGATAGAATCTGATTACAGTAAGCCTCATGCAGAGTGTCTATAAGTCTATAACACACCTTTAGCCTAGAGCTTACAACCTCGAACCACCGACTCCAAACCTAGCATCCTGTACTTGCTGGCATCGAGCTGCATTTATCCTCATTTTGATCAAGCCCAAGCCCTCCCCTCCACACCCTCTGACTGCCTTTGCGAAGTAATTAAGTGGCTAACCTGGAGCTTTGTGGGATCCGGCCACAAATGTTTTTTGCGCAGTAGCCCAAGAAGCTGCGGGTTGGTTCCTTGTCTATGTATATGTTGCTTCGGGAGATATGATTTGCTCTTGTCATGAACCTTCTTGTTTGCTGTCCTGGGCAGGTAGCAGCGCAATTGTAAATGTCAGCACTTTCGCTTGTTGCTGCCACTGCTTCAGGATTGCTACTTCATGTAAGGAAGACTCACGAGTACTGAAATGTCGCTCCGCGATCCCACTAGCAAAAGATCTCGGCGACGATGAGCGAGACAATTGCCTCGGGGCTATGGTTGCAGCTCTGCGCCGCGAAGCCTTCCAACAAAAAATGAGTTTATGATTGTTGGTTGCGTGTCATGAGATGTTTGTGTTGTTGGTCTGTGTAAGATCCGGAAAATTCAAGGCACACCGTTTCAGTTGGAGGGTTTAGGGCCGAGGATGCAGCTTAGGGTTTGGAAATGAGGGTTTCTACACCTGTAAACCTTCAATCATAAACCCTAAACCCGAACCGCCAATAACCTTTCCCCACGCTCGGACTACACTGTAAAAAGTCGCTGGGCCGCGACTTCGGAAGCCCCTACCTGAACCCTGAACCCCAAAACCTTGCATAACCCTACGCACTACGCTGAATGGTAGGATCTTTGCTATCAGAGACGCTCGATTGTGCGAACCCCCCCCCCCCTTTCCCAACTTGACACCCAAGGCCGCAACCGGGAAGCTTCCAGACTACAAACACCCCCTCAAGCCAATAAACCCTCCCGCTAAATCAATCGAGGCTGAATCCTAAGAGCCCAAAGCCCCAAAACCATACACCATAAAACCCTAAGCCCAATAACCAAGAGGCCCAGTGACTCCACGAGGAATCTGCTATCGCCTGGAGACTGTTCTGTGTTTCGGGGTATTCGCGCTTCTCTCCTATGCCAGAAACTGATAAGCCCTAGGCCCTAGGAGCACCGCCTGGAAACCAACTAGGCTCTACATTCAGAGACATTGGGGTCTCAGTCTGAGCGGCCTCTAAACTCTAAGCCCTAAGCCCCTAAACTCTCAGCCCTTAGCCCTAAACCCCTAAACTATACCTCTAAACTCTAGACAAGTTGTGCAGCAGCCCCGAGACCCTACTGGCCTAAAAAATTGCCAATACTATTTTGGGTGTTCCTTATTATAGCTATAGTATAATATCCCCCAAAACCCTCGTCTAATTATTAGGGCCCTTAAACCCTAAACCCTTAGAGTATCCCTTAAAGGAACCCTTAAAAGGAACCCCCAAAACTCTATTCTAACTATTAAGGCCCGAACATTACACTTATTAGGGCCCCTAAACCCTAAACCCTTAAGCATCCCTTTAAAGGTACCCCAAAACTCTTTTCTAATTTTTTGAGGCCCCCAAGACCCTGTGCCCAAAAGCCCGTGACCCCAAGCGGAGAGACTCTAAGGCTCGAGATCCGAACTCCTAAGTGCCTCTGCTAGGAGGGCCTTTCGAAACATAGGGTTAAGGACTTAGGTTTAGGATTTGGGGTTTAGGGTTCATTTCGAAACATAGGGTTTAGGGTTTAGGATTTAGGGTTCAGGGTTTCAGGGAAATCTCTTCTTCTCAAACCTGCAACCTTCACCCGAACACTTGGACCCGAACCCGAAAACAACAAAAAACCTGAAAAGGCACCCAACCCCGACAAAAAGCCAACCTGCAGAACCCTTTACACAGCCCTTCAGAAGTATTTATACCAAAACCTTGCCAGGCAATAAACCCTAAGAACCCTGAATCCTAAACCCTAAAAGCCCTTAACCCTCACCCATTAAACCCCTGAGCCAGAAAACTCTGTCAGGTCCTCCTGGCCCGTGAGAAGCGGGGTCCCGCAGAGGCTCAGCTTTTTGCGGGGGGCTCCTTTGAAGGTTTGAGGGTTTTGGGTTTATGGCTTATTTGAGGGCTTTTCTGGAGTTATGAGGAAAAAAAGACGGCTCAGGGTTTTTAGGGCTCTTTCGAGGGTTTTCGCCGGGGCTGGCACAAGGGTTTGGGCTTCAGGACAAGGGCAGCAGTCCAGTCCCTTGGTCAAAAAATGGCTTTTTGGTTTTGGTGCTTAGGAGAATGAGGTTTGAGATTCAGGAGTGTGGGTTTCAAAACCCTAAACCCTAAACCCTAAACCGTTCAAAGCTTGGGTTTAGGAAGGCTGTGTTTGGGACTTTGGGCTGGGAACTTTGTGCTTAGGCTTTGGGTTTTCGAGTTTGGGTTAGGGAAAGTTGTGGGTTTTGCAGAAGGGAGCTTAGGTGTTCGGGTTTGTGTAGGCTGCTCCAGGTGACTGGGTCAGAGGTGGGGCTCCAAGTTGGGGTCACATTGCATATATCTTTCCTTCTAGCCTAGCTACTACGTCCCGGGGATCCTCCAAGCTGTGCCCCCCCCCCCCCCCCCCCCCCCCCCCC